CGCGCCCTTCACGACTCGCTCATGGCCGGAAGGGAAAACGACAACTGGGCGCTGAGGAATCTGCATTCGGCGACATTGACGTGGTGGTTGGCGGAGTACAGTGGGCGGTACATGGACCCCAACACCCAAGACGCTGCTTTGCAGGGCATCAACTTTGAGGAGGAGGCCAACACCCGATCTGAAATCTTCCTGAAAGCACTCGGCGACGGCGCATTCCATTTCATGCTATCGGTCAGTCAGGATGTGCGCCCCACGCGCTGGTATGACCCTCAGAAGACCAGCATGTTATCTACGCTGTTGCAGGACACCGCAGTCCTGAGCAGAGACTCGCCGCAGCCTGAGGACTTCTTCAAGGAGCTTCTCATGGAGCAATTACAGACCTTCGTGGACTCGTTCATTACTCACATGCCAGACACTCTACGCAAACTAAAAGCCGAGGAGGACGACCAGCGACGACAATTACAACTTCACTTCCAACGCTCAACTGGAGAGTACCCACTACATCTCGAACGGTTCATGGTCATTGTCGCATATGCTTTCGACGGGTTCCCAGACGCAGCGGAAGACTTCTGGAGCGACAAAGAGAGCAATCTCTACGGATTCCTGCAATGGGCAGCCAAGCGCCAACCCACTCCCCGGATAGCTATGTTTTGCGAGATGTTACGGGCCATTGGTTCTGGAGAGGCAAATGCCGAAGCGGCGCATCGCTTCCTGCTTGAAGAAGGAGCATCTGCTTCAGGAAAGATCCGACGGACGAGTTCGCTCAGCTACACCACGATCTTCAATGAGCTGCGCGAGTTCGAGAACGACATACACGAGCCGAAGAAGCCTATCCAAAGCGGCGTCTACGCTCAGACCATGAACCCAATCGACCAGATCGTGGAACCAGAGAGCGCAACTATGCTGGAAAGCTACCTAAGACTCATTGCACACATTTGCCGACAAAGTTCTTCTGCGCGGATGTGGATCCTGGATCTCAAAGAGTATTCCTTTGCTGGCATCTGCTTTGGTCTATGCACCGACAAAGTTGAAAGCGGGCTTCGAGCAGCCGCCTACGACGCTCTGTCGGCTCTACTTGTGGGCAAGGACTTCACTCGTGCAGATGCCATGTGGAGTCTCTTGGATGAGTGGACGGTCAATGGCTTCTATACTGGATCCAGACAAAACAACGCCTTGGGTGCTACACCCAGAGATGACTTGTGGCCAACGCTCGCCGACGGGTACGACGAGTCCATCGCCCTAGTTCGTTTCCTTCACTCGCTCGTAGAGCCATATCCGGAGAACGAAGGCTTGAACGACAGTCTACCGTTCCCTGAAGGCCTGGGATCGTCGCGCAGGATGCCGGGTATCGAAAGCTACATTGACTTCGTCATGCAGCAGGTGTTTGCAGAACGTTCCCTGGACGTGCTTGATCCGCTACAACGTAGCGTCATGCAATGGACATGCTTGCGCTTCATGGTCACATGTCTTTCCACCTTCAATGAGAATCTCGTCGTGTTCGCGAACAAGTCTAGCATACCTGTTGATTCGGTCATTGACCCCACATCACTTGCTGTGTACGTTGCGCTTCACCCATTTGCACGCGTCATGGAGTGGCTCTTCAACGACAAGGTGTTGAAAGCTCTTTTTGTTGCATCGCACCACGACGTGACCGAGGTCGACGCTGCTCCATCCGACTCTCCATTGATCCAATCCCTGATGCTTAGCATCGAGGTGATGGATCTTGTGATGAAGCTCCAGGCGACATACCTGGATATCGTCAAGCCAGTTCTCAAGCAACAAACGTCGTTCCAGCATTCTCCCGTGTCGAACCTGTCGCTTGCATCTTTCGAGGATGCGATTTTGAACAACCTGCAGGTTATCGTAGACCTGGGACTCTATTGTGGTACCGGCCACGAAGCTTTGACAATTGCCTCTCTTCAATTGCTAGAGAAGATGGCGTCTTCGCGGAAACTTGCAGTCTCGCCTGCGGGCTTCGGACAACGATCAGGGCGAAGCAAGATTGTTGGCATACTAGAGAAAGACAATGAAGCCGAGCGCATCGGCCGGTCCCTCTCAGGCCTAATGCGTTTCAGCGCCGAAGAGCTCGAAGCTGGCGAGGATGCTTCAGGATATGTTGTCAAGCTGCGCGTTTTGGACTTCTTGAACAGCTGTCTAGCTGCCGTGTCCCTCCGGCCGACCATAGCGCATATCCTTCTCGGCTTCTCATGTGGACCCAACACTGTCCGCGTTGGAGAGAACAGCCTCTGGTCAAACGGACAAGCCTTGTTCCACAGCATACTCCTTCTTGGGGTTCAGTATCCTGACAATGACGGCGAACAGTTCATAGCTTGGCGGTCTGCTCTTAAGACCCGATGCTGGGATGTTTTGCAGAAGCTCTGGCGGTCACCGCTGACGAGCGCGCTTGTGATGGAAGAGCTCCGTGACAACGAGCTGCTCTTTGTGGAGGCCCCCCAACTAACTCCCATTACCCTTGATATACCCTGGGACGGAATGTCACTTGCGCAAGGGCTCGAGGTCACGCCTAACGATTACTCTCCATTCTTTTCAGGACCACCAGCACTCGCCCTCCAGAGCTTCCTTCAAAGACGTGCTGCTTTCCTCGACTATGAGTCGAGAGAGCTGCGCTTGACAGTGAAAGAGAGCATGCCGACTATGAAGTCTAGGATCCAATCTGTCCTTCTCGGTACCACGATCCGGCCTGGCGAGGACGCAATGCCAAACCCGAACATCTTCGATCTATTTGACTTCATCGAGCTGACCTACCCTGAGCGCGCTCTGCCAGATCAACACAAGTTCTTCGAAGGTGTCAATCTGACCTCATGTCAGGAGGAAAAAGAGGGTAGCACTCTCTATTCTTTACCACTCTTGGAACAAGTCATCCGTCTCAAGATGAAGTACTGGCGGAAAGAGGGCATACTGACTGATCAGGAGCAAGAAGAGCAACTTGTTGAACAGGCGGAACTGCTCATGGCTATATTCGTGGACTGGAACCGTCGCACACAACTTCTCCGCTATCACAAGGACATTCTGCAGTCGTGGGTCCAAGTCGTCATGGTTGCGGTACACAGCTGCGACTTCGAGAACGGCGCGCGCAGTTCGTTTATCATGCAGACACTGCAAGTTATTTTGCCCAAGCTTGAGCAGTCGTATTCCTCCGATATCTTCACCGCTCTCCAACTTGCCAGCCTAGCAGAGGCTCTTATTCAAAAGGTCGACTTTGAGTCAACTGCATTTGACAAGACAGGAGACTTCGCGAACGACCGCCTCTCCCAACTGTTCCGCGCGGCGCTCATCGGCATATACAGCCCCGTATCCACCGCCGAGCTACGAGAGTACTGCTACCAGATCTGCTTCCGCTACATCCACGGTACTTTCAACAAAGCAACGCCCAACTCCCTTCTCGGCCGCCACACCCTCAGCGCCATCAAGAACTGCGGCACCAACATGCTCGAAGTAATCTGCGACGACGCCTACAGCGGCCAAGGCACCTGCAAGGTCTCCGCGCTCCTCCTCCTCAACGCCTTCGTCTCCGCCGCAACACGTCAATCCTCAAAATACATTCTCGACAGCTTCGTCTCCCTCAACTTCGTCGGCGTTCTCGTCGACAATATCAAGCACATCCCCGAAGAACTCTCCGCCGCCGCCGCACCTCTAGTCCCCGTCCTACTCTCCTACTACGACGCCAGTCTCGCCCTCCTCCTGCGCGTGTGCCAGTCCCGGCTCGGTGCCGCCCACGTCCTCAACGCCGGTCTCTTCCCTGCCATCCGCGACTCGCAGCTCTTCTCAGTGGACCCAGATATCGGTCTCGAATTTGACGACCCCAATGCGCTGCGCAAGTACTACGAGCTCATGCTTGCTGTGTTGCGTGTTATCAACGCTGCGGTCATTGCGAGGGGGAGGCAGAACGATCAAACGGTGTTCCAGGCGCGAGAGTTCTTGAAGGATAATAGACATAGTATGGTTAGCATTTTCAAGAGGAGTGTCAATGTGGGTGTGGGGATGGGCGAGGAGCTGCAGCAGGATATTGTGGATTTGGTGGATTGCTGGACCGTTTTGGTGGATGTTACCGGGTTTTTGCAGGTAAGATTTCTTGACACGAAAGGCGACGAGGATGTTGATGCTAACATTTTGCAGTATGAGGATCAGTCGAGTGCGAAGAAGGTTAGGGTGAATATGTTCTCTTGATGAACATCACGCTTGGATGGATGAAGGTGGAATGAGCGATCTTTTGTGCGCTTGTTGGAATTGTGAAAACATTTAGTAATTGAAGAATCATTTTGAACTCTTGTAGATTCGTCCCTGCCATGCTTGCAGTATTGGTGTGGGAGTGCACTACGATCATGAGGTAGTGATTGAAATAATGTTAAATGTGATGCATCTAGACACTGACCCGCGAGACCTGGTTGGAACTCGGGTTCAGACTGCACCTTATACAAGGGGAAAACTGAACAGGCCTAGAGCCTACATCGACATTAAGTTACCTGCTTTGCGTGTTTCTCTGTTAATGTAGGCTGCAGGTCTGTTCAGTTTTTCCCTAGGTTGACGTGACTGGACGTTGGTGTTGTGCGTTGCTTGGCATGCTACCCAGATCGGGAAAGTATCCAAAAGCCGTCGATTGCCTGTGTCTGCATTGTTACCACAGGCCTCCGAGCGGTTACCCAGCCGAAGATATGATGCACTCACACTTCTTTCCCAAACTTCGTAATACTGGCCGAGGGCTACATCAGACTTGAACACCTTTTGGCCGTACTCGCTTTCTTGTGTACAGATCATAATGCACGATGCGGCACCTGCTGCAAAGGCCACCTCGCCGGTGCTTCGCATCGTACCGTGGTTGACTGACGCTGCGCTACCGACCAGGCAACAATGCCACATATTTCGTGTCTTCGCGGTAACTGTGAACTTATAACACAGACATTACTCGCTCACAATTGGCACAGTACGTACATCTGCTCAGTCGCACCCTTCCACGTCACCGACCCCAGCCAAGCTCTACAATGGCACAAAACACACCTGTCGAATGCCCGGGTGTTCGCTCTGTGAACACGACTACCGCTGACCCTACCGCTATCCCGCTGCCTACTCTTCTCCGCCTACCTCGCGAACTCCGCGACCTCATTTACGAGGAGTATGTTCGCGTGGACGGTGGATACATCTACAAACCAGAAACAAACAGACTTGCGCATGCAGATGGCTCGCCGATAAATTTGTCGCTACGCCTTGTCTGTCGACAGCTCGCATCGGAGCTCCATGGCATGGCATTGAAGCTGAATACCATCACGTTTGAGACATGCTTTTCAGAGGCTTCGCGAGAAGACGCAGGAATGCATCATGCCATCAACACCAAGATTGAACGTCGCAAGAGAGAAGTAATGAAGATGTTTGCTCCACAACTGTTCACCTCTGAGATGGCAAGAGCGGTAGCGGATGTCCACCCATGGTTTTCGCCAGTCATTAACGGATGGAGTCGACACTCCTTGCCTGATCTCAAGGCACTGACCATGCGAGGGGTGTACTGTGGTGAAGCTCCTTCGTTATGGCGCGATTGCGTTCACGACGTGTTTCGTCAGATCTCGAAAAGCCCCGAGCTCAATGCGACACTACTGGAAGAAAGCGTAGCTAGGCCCCGACCCACCGCCCTTTGGCCTCAGCCCTGGATTCCAGCCGATGGGCAACAGTTACTCGAACTGGCCAAGGCAGATCCGAAGCCCTGGCAGATTCTCAGCAGAGCTGAACGCGACAAGCTAGCTGCTGCAGCCCACGCTGAGCCCAAGCTTCCGCACTACAAGTCACGAACAAAGTACACTTATTCCGCTGCTTCTCTGGCTCTTCGGTTCCTTCAAGCATTGTCGCCTTCCGATCTTGCGGCTGTTCGACAGGTCAAACTCTTAGAAACGCGCGAAACTGTAGGATTCCCAGAATGCCATGCGCGCGGTTTCATCCCGATATGTCAGCAATGCCCACAAATACGCATACATCGCTTCGCCAGTCTCTGGAAGAGTGTCTTTTCCGTTCCGCTCCTGCAGAAAGCCGACTACTGCTACGCCAGCCAAGATGAGATGGATAGCTCGATAATGAGCATTGATCGATTAGCTGCTAAAGACATCACCCGTGAAGTGGGTAAATGGGCCATAGAAGCATCCATTCTGCCTTCGCTTGGGATGCCGGAGGAATGCTTCACACTTGTTCTTGATGGTGAACCCACCCCTGCTCACACTACCAAGCTCTTCCGGGTGGTCCAAGAAGACATGGCTTTTCAGGACGCACTTGATCTTGCTTACAACATTGGCTCTCTACCGTTGCCAACATGGCTTGACCGAAGAATCCAGACCGGATACATGTACGAGGGTCTCCCAGACATCATTCGTTCGCTTTCCATCGGCAGTCCACTAATACGCTGCAATTTCGATCCTGATCAGCCACACGATGCTAGGAAGATAATGGAAAAACGTCATGGATGGAACCTGAGCGACTGGACAGAATCGTGGAGCAGAAGTCGCGAGTATCAGACTGTGGCTCCGCTACCTCCGTGGCATGAGCTGCGATGGCAGTATGTGATAGTGTAATAGCGGTTCGAGAAATCGAAATACGGTGTGGAATCACGATATGGAAAGGAGCGATAATCGTGCGTTCGTAATCCCTGGGTTCTCAACATTTTTATGTCCCTAGCTTTGCATGATAGTTTCAAAACCCTAGTGTTCAACGACTCTCAGAATACAACATGTTTGCAAGAGACTCTGTTCAAGAACATACTCATAACACTTCGAATAAACTTTCCAGCCCATCAGTGTATCCCAAGCCTTCAACTTCCACCGGCACTGAGTGGTGGCATTGAATACGACAATCGCATCTAAGAGGACTAGCGTCAAGTCAGCATATACATAACCTTTACGGGCGATGAACTTACAATTTTTCAGCAGCCATCGACATGATCGCTGATACCTTCGAAGCCATATCGTAATCGAGAGTCCTCCGCGATACCGCCAAGATATCTTCCCATGTTTTCAAATTGCTCTCCTTGAAGTAACCAGAGAAGGTCACCTTTGGTACATTCCTCAGGCGATCGAACGCCAACACGAAGAACAAATCAACGAACTTCCTCTGACAGGAAGCTGTCTTGCGAAACACATCGTGAACATGGCGCCACGGGTCGTTGATCATAAAAGTTTCGTCGCTGAACGGACTTTTGGGGATCTGGAAGTCAAAATGCAAGTGGTCAAGATTCAGGCTGGTGAGGATATCGAGGGTAACTTCCCTAGACGAAGTGCAAGGTTTGAATCCGCGCTTCCAACTGCTTCGGAAACCCAAAAGACGGAAAAACTGGCTGTTGCTCATGCTGAGTGCGAACCGACTGAGGGTATTGAAGCCAGTCGTGGATTTCACCGACTGAAGTAGTGGGATCGATGCGCCCATAGTGTGGAGGCGGGTGTAGCGCTTGACGGTGGACTCCCAGAGCATCTTCTGGAATTCGAAGCTGAACTGCTGGCTGACTAGAAGCAGGCTCCTCATCCAAGATGCATTTTTCCTTGACATCCCATCGTGCGAAAACGCATCAGGTCCCAGCCGATGCGGCTTGCGGCAACCATACGTGGGTTTGGTGACTTCGTAGGATATATCAATGCCAATAGTCTTGGGCCAGCCAGCGGTTTGAAAGGCAAGACTTGCTAGTCCTCGAGGCTCGTTCTCCGGGGGTTTGACGTGAACGCACGTCTCGAACTTTTCAATGTCGCTCACATTCATGAGCGCGGGAAGTTCCTCGTCTTCTGAGTCATAAATGATGGTTTCGTCGTCAATGGTACTACGCTCTCCTTATGATGTCAGCAGCGCGTAGCATGGCTCGCTGTTGTTGTCGTCGGCATAGCAATTGCGGCACTCAACTTTTGCTCGTGGCCAGATAGCTGGTCCGATCAAAGCCTCGAGCACCGTGAATCGCAGTTCGGTGGGAAGTCTCATGTAGTCGAAAGCCTGCGTCATTAGACTTGTACTCTGAAGATAGGGGTGGTACTAGAACATACTTGCAAAAGTCTGCGCTCTTCAAGGGACCCATCTTGCACTGAGCAACTTCGAGGCGCATAGCGCTTGTCCCAGGCCTCATCCCATCCCAGGTATATGATGTTGGCCACGCTCCGACGCTTCTCATGTTCGCCCTCCTGAGAAAGGAGGCAAGAGGCACACTGCAGATCTGCAGACATGGTGTTGAGAGTATGTTGAGAGTTAAAGTGGAAGACCCAAGACTAGTTCGGGCTTATATATCAAGAAGAAGCGGGAGAAATTGTGAATGAAACAGATCGACAACGAGTGAGGTGCCTGGCAAGAAGTAAACGCCCGTTCACAAGCTCGCTTGAAGACCGTGCAATGTTGGCAATACGAAACATTGCCACTGGGTAGTTCTTGCGCCTGTGATGTCCGCGAAATAGGAGTCATCACCTCAACTCTGGAAGAGGTATGCCATCTATAGGTCCGCGAGTGAACTATACCGGATCCGGCATGGCGGCTGCATCGAGATAGTACTGAGATGGTCAGCTACCGAGCAAGAGGCCATGTGCCGTCGGTCGTACACATCGATTTTTTCTAGGATATGCATCGAAAAGAGTGAATCTTCATCACTCGTTGATGCGCGAGCATTCGACAGCGCTGTGGGAGCTTTCATAAAATCGTGATGTACCGAGGTAAGCCGTCAAAAGCTTGTGCGCGATGACGCTAGGTATGGGTTGCTAAAAGCCGCGGCGGGTTCCCGCTGGGAACTTCACCTCGTCACCACCCGATCGTGGGTACCTCATTGTCGCGTTCGCGCTTACCCGACACGGTCTTGCGAGACAGCAATTCGCCGGACTATTACGTGGCCATTGACATCCAAAAGCTGTCGCAGCACCCCGCATAACATCGGCGCTCGATATAACATCGCGACAGTCCTCCCGGCATTCATAACGCATCTGCAGTGGATGCGACTTCTTGTGCTCGATGATTGAGCCAAGACAAGCGACCGAAATGCCCTCTACGGAAGGTGCAGCCTTGCCCAGCCACAATGATAGTGTACAACCGCCCAACTCAATCGAACGGCCCGCCATACTCCGTCTCCCACGCGAGCTGCGGGATCTCATTTATGAGCATTACATTCGCATCGAAGGCGGTTACACATACGACTATGCATCGAACAAACTCCGAGACGCCAATGGTCGCCCTGTCTCTATCGCCCTTACCGCGTCCTGTCGACAAATTGCTTCCGAGCTTCGTGGCCTTCCCTTTAGCTACAATACAATCACATTCTCTACGTATTTCTCGGAGTCAACAAATAAAGATGCGGGCGTCTTTCATAGCACCGTGGAAAGCATCTCACTCGCGAAAAGAGGGTTGATACGGCATTTGATACCACTTCTGCTTACAGAAGACATGGCACAGGAAGCTAGTCAAGCTTTTCCACAATTCGAACAGATCTTTGACGAGTGGGAGCCTGGAGAAAGTATCAACGCGCTACGCAATTGGGACTTTACTGGCGGTGAAGCCCGTTCTGTGTGGGAAGACTTCATGCAGCTCATCTTAACTTTACTCTCAAAGCATCCTAGGTTCCTCCAGGTATTAGAGGCAACTCATGAATCTAATACAAGGCGTAAAGGATGCAAGGTACCCGGGTTAAGAAATGCTTGCGTAGAACCCTGGTCAGTCCCCGATAACTTCGAAATGGAACGACTCGCGGCCATCGTGAATGTTGAGCCTGAGCGGCCGGATGTTTGGTCCTGTACCCGCTACTGCTTTTCTGCAGTACATGCAGCTCTCCGCTTCCTACAATCGATTCCTGCAACGACCCGCGAAATGATACGCAAAGTCATTCTACTTGAGGACCGTCCATCTGTGGCGTATCCACAATGTCATGGACGAGGCCTGATCCCCTTTTGCCAGGCACACAAGGAACTCTGCTTTGAGCGTGTCGTCGACCTGTGGAGAAACGCATTTCCTGTATCAACCAGAGCAATGTACGACTACATTAGAAGAAGTCAAGATGGCGACGATGCGAACACTATGAGAGATGATCGCTTGATCTCTGCGACAATCAGTGATGCCATAGGTTCTTGGATGACGGAAGCGCAAGCGCTGCAAGACCTTGGAATGCCGGAGGGATCGCATACCCTCATATTCAACGGCGCACCCAATCTAGAACAAGCTTCACGTACCTTTCAAGTGGTACAACGAGATGCTGCCTGGCAAGTAGCCCTAGATATTGCTTACACCAAAGGCACGCTTCCTCATCACTCGTGGTCAGAGCGGCGGCTTCAAACCGGGTACATCACGGAGTGCTTTCCAGACGTCGTCCATACCCTTTCAAAAAAGGATGCGCCTATTCGATGCAACTTCAGCCTTGGTACCCCGTACAGCGCCAAGAAGCTGGGCCAAGATCATCGCGGATGGGATGATAATGATTGGGTGTCTCGTTGGAACTCTTACGAGCAGGCCAAATTCCAGACAGAGCCGCCACTCCCTCCTTGGCATATCCTGCGATGGGGCTATGTCCTTACAAGATGAAATATCGCCATACATTCTAGGCGCTCACAGCTCTTGGACTTCGTAAGCGTTGCGCAGATCTCAGACCCCACTGGATGGAAGTTTGCATCGCGTGGGTACCGTGGCAGTGCAACTATTGTTGGGCGTCTCTCAAGCCCCGGACTAGCACATCCAGGAACTGTGGCGTTGTATTTACTCCCCGTAGCAAAGTATGGGAGCGGATGTCTTCTCCCAGGGTCCCTTTGAACTATGTGCTAACGAGTTGCGGTTATCGCATATCGATCTCACGCTCAGCATCCAATGTACGCACATCATATCCGCGAATAGATATTAAGCAGGCCAACACATGAGACCTAGAAAGAACAGAATTGCCATGTTCATGTACATTCGCCTGAACGGTCAGCACCATAGAACGAAACACGTTAATGTTCCATAGTTTGCGTGGCACCTGGTGGGCAAAGTCAATAAAAAAAGCTGCTTGTACTTTACAAAGTTCATGCGTCTAGCAGAGCCTTCACTTCCTTTACCATCAAGCTATCCTCACCAGCCTTCGCTCGAACCTTTTCTATCGTGCCCGCAGCATCCATTACCTTCCAAGTGTCTCTCAGCTCGCCCTGCATATCAGCGGCATACACCAACCAACCAACACATATGACACCCATTTTCTGGTTCTCGCTCCACTGCTCTTCGGTGCCAATGTTTTCCAGTAGCGACGCCAGAAGCTCGCCTTGCTCCGCCTCGGGTAACTCGGTCTCGGAAGACAAGGAGGCTGACGGGTTTGCGCTGTGCTTCTTCATGCGTATTTGGTGGTTCGAAGACGCGATGTTCATGGCTAGGCTGAGAGCCGAGGCTTTGAGTGCGGGATGCTTCTCGTCGAGGAGAGCGGTTGTTAGAACGGAGATGAGCGTTGAGGAGAGCGGCGGAGAGAGGAGGTGTGGTATGAAGAGTGGCGATGAGAATAGATTGCATGCGAGATGCAGTGTCGTAAGTCTCAGAGGGTAGGGCGCGGAGTCGCCGAGCTTGTCGACGTGGTCCAGCAGATGGTGTATAGTGGCCGGTGTGCCAGTTGCTCCCTTGTGCTCTTCCGCAAAGAAGCCAGCCACGCGGGCGTCGGTCAGGGCAACCCTGAGCAGATCTAGGGCCGTGAACAGAAGCTCTGGTGGGAGTACTGAGGTGCTGTTTCTCAGGAAGCTGGCGAACTGCGGCAGATCCCCTAGAGGTGCTTCTATGGCCCCAGATTGTTCGCGAGTCTGTATGAAGGATACCACTGACGAGACAGCTGGCTCTTTCCCTGCATCGCCCATCTTTGCGACAAGCTTCTCCAGTGGCGGCACCTTGGTGAACTTGACAGGCCTTTGACTTTGCCGCAACAGCATGGGCGTGCTCTTCTCGAGATGTGGGTGCGCTGGGAACGCGGCGTTGACCAGCATCTCCACGTTATTCCGCAGCTGCCTGGAATCAGCTCCACTCCACTCGTCCCGCTTTTTGCCTCTGAGATATGTTATGAATGTTGGGGTCGCGCGAACGTCGGGATAGCGGGCGTTGATGGAGCGATCGGCGTGGCTGAAGTCGATTTTGATGAAGACACACTTGGTGCCAGTCTCGGCGGCAAGGTCGTCGTACGGTTGGTACACTAGCTTACATGGCGCGCATGTGGAGCTCGTAAAGAAGATGATGGCGCAACGGTCTTTTGCGAGATCGAGAAGGCGGTCTACATCCTTCAGTGATGTTATGTTGTTGACCCTGCCCGTGTTCATTTCCAAGGCGCTGCCCCCAGAAGAGACCCCGTTGGATGTACTTGCGCTCGACGCTTTCGTATGGGCTTGCGGTTGTACCGGCTGCGGTGTGGGCGCTTGGCCGATGGGTCGCATAGCGGCGTCGATTTGCGGTTTGAGCATCTGTCCGAACGGCGTGTTCAGGACGGTCTGCGGGAGGGAAGTGATGTGGTCTGGTATTCCTTTGCCGACAAGGAACATGGCGAAGTCGTTCGAGAAGTTGTTGCAGTTGTGCGCGAAAAGATCGTATGACTGGGTTGACGGTCAGCATAGCCTGCGCAAAAGCGCTAAACGGGACCATACCTCGGCCGTGTATATTTCCTTCAGAGACTCGAGGTACTCTAATATGACCTCCATTGGAAGCGCAGTCTGCCCCAGCTTAATTGATTCCATCGGTCGGCCATGGTGGGTGGTGCCCGCCCGACATGTCTGAACGCCTGATCCGTAGTAGTATTCTATGCCATCGAGTACGATTGAGGTGTGATATACGGCATCAATCTGTTCGGAAGCATGTGTCAGCGCATGTACCGAGTATCGGAATATATACGGCTTACCTGAATGCCCAAGAACTGCTGCGACATGCTTCGCGCAAGACCCTAGATGCCGTCAGCTCTGAACACCTCTACAAAGCGCCGTGAACGATCGCGCATGTACATCTGCTCCAGCCACTTACCCGAGAAAGGTCATACACGTACAGTTCGACGTCCATATTGGAGAAGATTTTTGAATGGCTATGAGACTCCCTAAATGGTATCACGCTTCGTGGATGCGTGCAGGCGTTGGTGGAAGTGCTCGAGTAGATAAGAGGATGACGTAGAACATTCCGGAAGGCTGACGAACGCGAAAGCTCAGGTGGCGCGATCCACCATATCGCGCTAACACCTGACATCGCATGCACGCGTCACAACCTCCAACAAATAATTCTTGTCTATGATACCGGACTATAGCGCATGGAATCAAAGAGGTCAATATACCCAGGTATCGACACGCGAACCTTCGCCCAGGATTCCCGACGAGGCTGCTTGTCAAGCTGTTGCAAATGAAGGCGATGGCACGGATGCCCAGTGATGTGCGAAGGCCAAGGCAGCTGTGTGCATCCTTTTCTCGACTCCATCAACACTTTGATGATTGCGGCAAGGTTATCGGGTTCTCCTCCATGGAGTGATTTGGTACCATTGTTTTGGCGAGCGATGCGCTTCAGACTAGTGGCGGGCCGGCACACGACCATACCCTCAGATACACCTCCCATTCATCACCCTGATGTAAAGCATTATCCACTGGCAGCAGAGTCAAGCACAATTACCCAGAGAATCGAAATTCGACGCGTCAAGCCGCGACGCGTTACTCTTTGGTGACATGAAGTCAAAGACAGATCATCACAGCGAGGAACACTTCCAGGGATTCACGCCTAGACAAGAGAATCCCGAGAAGTACACTGGAACCGGATGCAGCCTGGGGGCTCTGGCGACATTAGACGAGCGGAAGCTTCCCGGCAATGTACATGCCACGCGGATGTACCTGCAGTTGTAGAGTTCTAGCGCCCGTCTCCCGTCGCTCCAACAGCGGATGTGATTGAAATCGCTAGCGTCGTAACGTATCATAAATTACACCCGCACCTCCAATCCGACTATGACCGCGCTATGCCACTTTCTATTAGCCGCCGTTGAAGTCGGAGTCGGAGGTTTGGTGCTGTGGGCAGATCACGGCACGGTAATCAACATCTCGGAGCAAGCGTAGGGCTAAATTGGAGGTCAGAATACTTATAAGAAGAGCGCGAGCTGATACGCCCAGCCTTTCAGGTTCCTAGCCACCCTGCTCGAGAAGATCTCGCATTCAGTGCGCGATGAGGCCCATCTGCAGGACTGGAATCCGACCACAATGTTCGCATTGCGCCCATTTAACGTGGCCTTGAGAACTCTTATCTTGACGTCGCTTTCCGTTCTCTGTCTGTATTTTCTATTTCTGAAGAATGCCTTACCTAAGTGTGCTCACCAAAGAAGGATGTAAAGGTAGATATGGAAGTGTTGCTGTGTTGGGCCTAGTCTCACAACGCGTGAACGCTGGTCAACTGGTGCTGCCCAGGTGCCCCCGCACCCCCGGGCCATCCGCGTGTGCGCCGCGATCGCTTCACCCAACGACTGCCACCATACTTCACTGCAAGCAACCAGTAGATGATTCCAGATTTTCCATCTAGCATCGGAGACCACTTATGCGACATCGAAAAAGCCATATTGCCAGGCTCCGAGGTCTACACACCGTTCTTCATACGGAACAGATACAGGCTGCGCAGTCTAAGCCGAGGCCTTCGTCCTTCTTCCTCCTCCACGAGCAGATCCGTTTGTGAGCACTAAACGTTCATTCGTGTAGATACGCAGGAGCCCATGGCATTGAATCCATCGAGCATGTCACATCCAAGCAACAGGCGCGCTGTGAGCGATTTCCACACGCGCCCCAATTTGAGTCCTCCACCGCCGTCTGACCTTCCCCCCATCTTTCGATTGCCTCGCGAGCTTCGAGACATCATCTACGACTACTACATCCGCTGCGATGGTGGCTATATCTTCGATGCAGAAACCCGAAAGTTCATGCAAAGGAATGGAGAGCCTGTATGCTACGCGCTGGCATTTACGTGCAAACAAGCCGCATCAGAACTAGCGAGACTACCTTTTGGGTTGAACTCGCTTACCTTCTCTTCCACCAGTTCTACATCTACGCATGAGAAAGCCGGTCTTCAACATCATGTCGCCCTGAAGCTCAGATCTTCAAAGCAAGCCCTGCTTGAGCTGTTACCTACCGAGCTCTTCACGCGACCAATGGGACAAGCCGCCGCTAAGAGGCATCCAGAGTTTGCTGGACTCATCCGTATTTGGGCGCAAGGGCGAGCTCCTTACACATTCGGGGATTTCAAGGAAAGCTTTGGCGAAGCCAGATCGATCTGGGACGACTTCGTGGATCACGTTCTAGAGTTGATCTCTCAACACCCCGACTACGCGGAAACTATCAAGGCCTTACCGAGTAGCCTTGCTTCTACTACTGCATCTTTTCCAGCCCGTTCGAAAAGCCTTGCGTGCGTGCGACTGACAGGATGTCGCGATCTGCTGCGGCTAAAAGACGCACATCTCCAACCTTGGCTCATCCTCGATCATGCGGAGCTCCAACGCCTGTCAGATATGCTGCCCAGCTTTTTGGAAATCGAGAGTCCGCGCGAAAACACGGGCTATGACTATTCAGCCGCTGCTGTGGCGCTACAGTTCCTCGCTTCCTGTACCAAGACCATCCGATCTTCCGTCCGCAAGATCGTTCTCGAGGAAAATGGCGTATCGATAGCACAGCCTGAATGCCACGGTCGAGGCTTCATCCCCATATGCCAAGAGAACAGATCACTTCAAGTCGAACGCCGCGTCAGCCTATGGAAGACTGTTTTCGAGGTTTGTCCAGGCCGTCGTGAGGGGTACATCCGAGCTGCAGAAAGCAATGCGGAAAACAATTTCCAAGGCGATCGCTTGCTGGCCCCTACTATCACAAAGTCGCTCGGGAAATGGGTGACTGAAACAATGGCTCTACAATTGCTTGGGATGCCTGAGGGTTCGCACACGCTTGTACTGGATGGAGACCCCATTCCAGAGCACACAGCCGATGTATTTCGGACCGTCCAGCGGGATGCTGCATGGCAGGCTGCATTGGACATATGCCTCTCCCACGATGTATTCGAGTTCAACCCCTCTTGGCCAAGCAGACGCTGCAACAGCGCTTTTATCTTCCGAGGGTTGCCTGAATTGATCCGCACGCTTTCTACAGGCAGCGCCCCAGTCAGGTGTAATTTCCACTTAGATTCGGGGTTCGATCTCGATAGCTCGGTTCAAGAATTGCTCGAAAGGTCGGAGCAGCCATATAGATGGAGGTTTGTAGAGGACTGGAGCGCAAGATGGAGCAAGCACAACCCGTACGAGTTTCAGACGGAAGCACCGTTGCCGCCGTGGCATATACTTCGCTGGCGGCATGTTCTACCAAACATCCCTCCCAGGTACGGGAAGCAGCAGCGGATCGAGGAGTATCGGTTCATAAAGAGGGTAAGAGCTGTACACCCTAGAATGCTTGGTCACATCAGGTTGCCTAGGGTACATGATCCCATGTTAGAGTAGGCTGCAGACCTGTTTGGGTTTTTTTAATAAATCAGGAGATCACCCATATTGATTCCGCGACTTTGTGCACGCCATATTGCATTGTTACACACTAGTGAAGTCCATCGTTGCGATAGTCAGTGCACTGTCTTCGTACCCATGTAATCCATCCCTCCGGTTACGACATCATCAAGGTAGCGTGCAAGATACACCCAAAGTACCACCGATCACAGTTGCATTCCGTGCAAAAGCCATAGCCTGCGTACTCATATATCAACGTTGATACAGGCTGGAGTATATACGGTAATAGTAGCGGGAACGAGCTCCCGAGGTCTCTTTGAGGTTGCAACGCGGAAGATGCGGGGAGTGGCCAAAGCGCACAGTGGATGATGACCCGCCACTCCCCACAGAAAGGACGCCATCACACCGCCACTCCACCCATAAATGAGGATGTATATGATGCGCATTACCATCTCTTCTTGATACACAAGTAGTTTCCATCGTATACCGTTCAGACATGTCTCACGCGTGGTCCGTCCACGCCCCATATTGGCAGAGCTCCAATCATGCCAGTCAATTGGTAGTCGACAGAAACCAGGTTCCTCCTGGTACTGTACCGCCGACAACTGTACAAGTAAGCCATCGCGCCGTCGGTCCGTCTACAAAACAAGACTGACGTAAGAAGCAGGAACAGCCAAAGAGCATGCCAGATGCACTACCAAAACTAAGACTCATGCTGAATGAAGAGCGCCGGTATAGTTTCAACATCTACACGAATACACAGGGCATTCGAATCGAGAGACACCCACTTTTGCGCGCTACTACGCATACCGTTACTCAGCACTTCTTCATCTCCGAAAAAAGGACACATGGGCACACACGCGAGCATGGCATCGTTACGCGATGGAAGTCGATCAATGGCAAACCGGAGCTTGATATCAAAACCGGTAGAAAGACCGAGTGCATGTCTGCCAGATCTTGGCTGCTAGAACGATATGGCGGCGATGTCACTCGTCGGGACTTATTCAACGAGTGGTTCGATCTTTACCATACGTCGTTTCGATTCATGGATCTTCCGCTTGAACTGCGGTTCATGATCTTTGAGGCATCGATAGGGCCGGTATTATGGCCTCATCATAGAGCCACTGAAGAGTCGCAGGCAGCTCTGATGACCGGCCGTCGTGCACATGATGCAACACCTGCATCACGGCATGATCAAAACAACACACCACGTAACTCATCTCCACAAGACGCGGAAACGAACGTCAACACCTGGCCACGGGGAATATCCACCAACGCGCCAAGGCTGAGAGACAAAGTATCCTGCCATCGTCCGCCATCCAGCCGTCCTTACGGATCGACCCGCAAAGCTACCGGTTGGATCAAAACCCTACTACTCGTCAGCAAAGCATTCAGTTCCGAAGCCCAGAAGACGATCTGGGAAAGTACAATCAAGAGATTCGACAACATAGCAACTCTGACCAGAACGATCCCACATCTCGATGCCATCCCATTCAACGCACTCCGACGCGTATCACTCACATTCAGCGACCGCGCATACCTCCGTCTCCTCGGCTACAAAACCACCGCCGAGTTAGCATTCGCTCCGCTTCCCGCTGAGAAAGCTAATCGCTTGAGCGTCCTAGCTTCCATCAACAGCATCGAATACCTTGACCTCCACTTCCAAGCCCCCCTACCCTTTCGAATCCTCGGCGATAGACTTCATCCTGTCACGCAGTTCAAGCTTGATCCTGTTGTTATGCAGTGTCAGAAAGTGTGGGTTGAGTGGGTTCTCACGCTCTTGTATGAGCAGTTTGTACAAAGGTATGAGGAAGGGGAGAATGTACCAATGGTTTCTGTGAGCGGAGATGTGAAGAACAGTACGAGGTGGGAGTGGGAGCCGGTATGGAGGGAGTTCAAGCACAGGATTCGACGCGACTTCTCCTCAAAAGCGGCGGAGATCAAGGCTACTCCCGCCACTCAATTGTAAGTGGAATGGCTTTCTGCTTTTGATCACATTACTAATCCTCCGCCAGTCCTCCGATTTGCTACTGCGATAGCCCGTGTGGTTGGAAAGAAGCTGCACGGCCACGGCCCGGTTGTGGATGTGAAGTCGTTGCTGAGTTTAACTGCCGAGATTAGTGCAATGCATGGTGTGACATGTGGCACATTGTTAAGTTTCTACTACACACAACATATCCCCCACGGAGGTAGACTCGAATTGACGATATCGCAATTCCCAAAGGAATCAATCCAAGACAGTATGAAATGTGGCGCATGCGATAGGATATCAATTGGCCTGAGCTGACCCACCAACCGTTGTGCCATTGCATTACCATGGTACTGCCTCCCCACTTGGACCATGTTACGTGTGCATTTGTAGTGCGCCCATCACAGACCTTTTGTGCTCACGCTAATCCCAGTCATATGTATATCGCCATAATCATCGCCTTAACCAGCTCACCCTTCTCGTGGATTTTGCTCGCCCTTTACTTTCATTTCGCCAACATCATGTGCGACGATGACCCCAAATACCCTTTGAATGCGGTCCCTGTTAGTGTCTACAAGGAGCTTGAGTCACCGTATCGCGACGAGGATGAGATGGATGACGAAGCCATTTCCGCTCTCATATTCAAGTATCGTCTGAGTCAAGAATCAGTTCTTCGGAAGCTTCGAGGGTCAGAAGTAGCGCTGGTGTGTACATCTGCACGGCTTCGTATGTTGACACTAACCCTGTCAGAACCCGATTCTTGCCCGTTTGCAGTGCATACTAGAGGATGAATGCACGAGAAGCCCTACACTCGCCAAGAGAGCTACCAACTGCATCATTATACCTGTTGCAACAGAAATACTTGTTACCGAGGTCGGTTATTATTTGCATTGCAGAGTTCACTTCCCGGCTAGTAAGGCCAGATACAATCTCTTTGTACGGCGAGGGCACCTGCAGGATCCATCTGAGCTGGAGTTATACGAAGAAAAAAGCTACAACGAGTACGAGGAAGATTCTTATCCAGGCTCACAATGCTACTGGGTCTCTGCTAGGCAATGGATAAGAGGACTTTACGGTGGATATGCTGCCCGAAAAAAGGAGCTGGGAGTATTCCAGAGCAGTACAGGTCTGCCTTTCCGGTTCATGGATCTGCCAGCAGAGCTACGATTGGTGGTGTACGAGCTTGTAGTAGGAAAGCAGATCTGGCCGCATCTTGCTAACCGTCGATCCGATCCCGGACTGTGTAGTCATGAGGGCCACAGCCGCCACGGCACATCCGCTATCAGATTTGAAGATGCCAAAGACTACTCCAAAGGACTCTTCGATACTACACACCCTATAGCCTTCGCTACATGCCAGAGAGAGGTCGATGCGATCGGTTTATGCGCCCCACCAGAAGACTCACAAGCCGGGCTCGGTGCTACGCGGGCTGACGAAGCATCAGTAACGAACTTAATGCTTGTCACCCAGAAGATCCGTAACGAAGTTGCAGCCGTCCTCTGGGGCATGTCTACCAAGCGCTTTAATCTAATCTACGTACTCGACGACGTTGTATCGTACTACATGACGTACTGCACGAAGAACGAACAAGTATGCCCCATATTCGCTCCTCACGGCCATTCTTTCCTAAGCCACGTGTCGCTAAGTCTGACCAACGACGAATATCTCGAGTTGGTCGGCTACGAAATCTGGTATCTCGGCGGAAACATCGAACCCAAGATACTGACATACATGCGCGGAGACTGTTTAAAGAACCTGACCAGCATAACCACGCTACGGCATTTGAACCTCCAGTTCCAAGTCCTGAAACCACAACACTACATCTGCAACTCACAAGAAACCTCGTGGGACCCGTGGGGCCTGCAAGACTCAAAACGAAGAATCTCTTGCCAAAAGGACCTCGTTGATATTATTTTGACACTAGGTTACGAACTGTTACAACGAGTCCAGAAAGTCACGAACTCAGGTCACGTCAAGAACTCCAATCGTGAGAAATGGGACCCTCTTCTCAGGGACCGGAAACTGAAGAGTGTAACTCGTCAGAGGTGCGATATGCAAGCTGAAGTAGCCAGGGTCCTTGCGATACCCGCGGCGAAACTGTGAGTTTGATGATCAGAAGGGTTGCGAAAGCGTGAAAGTGCTAATTGAGGGTTTAGGCCGCCAATTTGCGAGTGTAAGACGCCGTGTGCCTGGTGGAAGGATAGGAAGGGGGATTGGGGGGATGTTTCCTACGGGTTTGAGTGTGAAGACTGAGGGTGGTGACACGGTAATTCCAATTCTTTGTATAGAGAAATTGTTGAATTATCATTCTATCCGATGCTCGAGCCTCTGGCAGATAACTAGTCGAAGATACGGTGCAGTCGAAGCATACGCCATGGTGGTAATGGGGCTGCAGTATCGAATTCATTCAGTTCGTGTGCATCCCAATTGCGCTCCCAGTCTTGTGCAGTCCAGGTGCTATGTTCTTCCAACAGCCTCTCAACATCATACGAGGGGCCTAGTTCGAAGTTGCAAGTGACAAGAGCATCATCTTTCGTTAGGTTGTCGATGATACCCGAGAGACCTTCGTATCAATATGTGACCTTGAGCCGGCGCTCCCGCCAGGATGGTTTTGGCAACATACCGCGAGAGTAGGCGGTGTCCAGGGCACATTGCCAAGCGACATCTCGTTGCACTACCCTGAATGCATCGGCTGTGGGTGTATCCGGTGAAGTAGGCTCGCCTTCGAAGACAAGCCGAAATGAGCCGTCCTGCATCCCAAGGCTAGACAAAGCCAGGGCTTCCGCCATCCATGCCCCGAGAGCTTTTGATATGTGCTTGGACAGCAGAGAATCGCTGACAACATTGTACATGTACTCTGGGTACTGGCTTGCTAAGATGTAGTCCATCTTCTTCTCGGGCGTGATTGGAAACGCGTTCTGCCAAAGACTGACAACGCGCTTGACGCGAAGCTTTGGGTTGGACTGACACAGACCAATGAACCCTCTTCCATGACACTTCGCATACGCTACAGATTCGCGGTCTTTGAGCAGCGTAACGCTTCTTATCTCACTACGCAAAGCGTCTGGCAGCGTGCGAAGGAAGCGAAGCGCAATGGAAGCCGCAGAGTAGGTGTACTTTGTGTTGGGTTCGTAGAACGGCAGCGTGGGTTCAACGTCGACAATGTTTGCTAATCGCTTCAGCTCGAGGGGATTGGGAATGACCTAAGGCTTTGGCGATGTATGAGTTAATTGAGTAGCGCGGTATACGCTGTCTGTATCCCAAAGTCGAGGTATGATTAACGCTGTTGTGACGGCTAAGACATGCTTCGACACTCGTTTCAGAACGTCGTGTATGAAGCTAAAGATAAAGTAAGATCTCGAGGACGCATTATTCGCTTGGAGAGTGTAGTACTCGATATCTGGACCCTAAAGTCTAGTTATAGCAGACGCTCTTTTGCCGAACAACGGATGTTTTGACATTAGATCTAAAATGTGGTGTTTGAAATCAAGCTAGACCAAAGGGGCCTCTCTACAATGAAAGTTCTTCCTGTAAAGAATAGGTATGTCACTTTGAGGCGTCTAATTGTTGAACACTGACGCAAATTGCGGATATGCTTTGGCCGCTAGCTTGGCTATGTCGCGTGTGAGTAGCTGAGATACAAGCGAAAGGATTATGATGTGCTTTTGGTGCTTGACTTTAGCTACGGTAGCATGAAGTACACTTGCAGCCACCTGTGTGCGCTGCGAGCTAGGGCTGAATGTTGAAAACGTGATTGTGTTGACGCGAAAGGCGAGACTTCGGACTTCGCACGCGACCTGTCGACATGTACGAGAGAGAGACAGCGATATAGGCGAATTATTAGCCTGCGTAAGCTTTTTGAGCTTAGCGTTGTACAGGTAGCTGTTTTTGACTGCAAAATATTGCTTGTAGATCATATCGCGAAGTTCGCGCGGTAGTCGGAGGAAGGACATCGTAGACGAGCGTAGCGAGAGAGGAGGTAGAATCGTTGTGCGAAGTGGTACGGGCTGAGGGAGGAGAAGTACTAGATTAAGGGCTGGAGACGGGGCGCTTTTTGCACGAATGTACCCAGGTTCGGGAGGCTATGTAGTTTGGTAGAGAGGCGCGCTTCCACACACAACCTGCTTAGTCGCATACGCGGAGCTCTAGCAGGACCGTTTTCAGAACGCGGAGAGTACGTAACTATCATACAACATGATCGATTCTCAACAGTCCTTCCGCTCTGCCCATGTGTGCGTCGACGGTACCCGTCCAGCAAGGATAGAGTGCGCCTTTGACTCAGACTGCGGTCTGGTTCTGGGTTGGGCTTGGTCTTTGAGACTGTACTTTGGTATACGGTATGATTGCAATAACTTTGATGTGGTACCCGTCCAGCGATCCCCATGATTGTATCAGCATTGACTTATACATGCCAAATTCTCGGACAGCATTAGGGAAATAGCGTTGTTGCCTGAAGAGCTCCATGGATCAGAGCGAGCTTCTCAATATTGTTTGGTGCCCGGGTGGAGCCACTGGTGGCGCACGCGTTACGGGGTCCACAGGGAAGCCTCGGCTTGCCCCACCTTCCGTACATTTCCCCCAATCTCGCCACAGCAGCAACGACGGATCGGGACAACATGTATACAAGGCGGAGTAACATCACATTAGTCAAGAGGATAACGAAGCAAAGGATTCTAGTGAAGTTGATTGTAAGTTACATGCTTGATGAATGCCTTGGCCTTTAGTTCGTAGTTGACACTGAATGCCACTCTTGTTCCAACGAATTCCAAAGCCTAGGGCCTCCAAATGACATGTCCCCAACGAAGCACATGCCAAGGTGGTAGTGGTGGCTCGGTCTGGAAGAATTTCGGCTTGTGTGAATCCCAGCCTATATCCCAGTGATGTGCAGACCATCCTTTGTTCTCATCTAGCAGTTGCTCAACATTGTCAGGTGGAGGGAGCTCAAAGTTGGTTCTGATGAGCGGGCTATTGGTGGAAAGAGCTCGAACTGCTTCTGGTAGTCCTTCATAGATGAAACCACTGGTACCTAGTCGCCGATCGAGCCACGAAGGTTGCGGTAGAATTCCCCGGGCGTAGCAGGTATCGAGGGCGGTCTGCCATGCGACGTCGCGTTGGATAACGCGGAAGGCGCGCGATGAAAGCTCTGGCACAAGCTCGCCATCGAGAACAAGGGTGAAGGAGTCATGTGGCATGCCAAGCGGTATCAGAGCTCTGGCTTCTTTCATCCACGTACCCACCGCCTTAGTCATGTCGCGGGCGAAACATCTATCGAAGATCATGGTCCCTTCATCATCTTCATCCATCAAGCTTTGATCGTTTCCCAAATAATCTTCTAACTTATGCGAAGCGGTGGGGAAGACATTGCTCCAAAGACTGGCGCGGCGTTCGACTTTAAGCTGTGGATATCTCTGACAGAAAGGAATGAATCCTCTGCCATGGCTCTCAGGAAGCGATATCGATTCGCGGTTCTCAATCAACAGAATCTTCCGAATGTTCTCGCGTGTAATCTCGGACGCGGAATGCAGAAAGAGAAGAGCTCTTGAGGCTGCCGAATAAGCGTGCTTTGTGCGAGCAGAAAGGTGGAAAGTGTTGAAGGGCTGTCCCGAGATATTCCGCAGCCTCGCAATTTCCGTGCCGTCTGGGATCTCCCAAGGTTTAGTATTAACATCGCTAACTAGATGATATTCGTTGTTCTTGAACGGCAGCTCAGACCATACTCTAGCGTTCTTTAGAAATTCAGGGTGCTGAGAGACTAGATCCAAGGTGAAGGCTACAAAGTCGTGCCAAATGGACGGAGCCTCACCACATATCAGGTAAGGCCTGAACAGGGCGCGATGGATTATCGAGTGACGCGGCGACTGCCAGTGATCAATCACGGGCGTGAATTGCGGATACGCTTCTCTTGCTGTCTGGGCTTGTTCTTCGCTGAGATAGTCATGCGTTGCGTAGTTGAGTATCGACTCTTTGATGTAGCGAATGGCATTGTTGCTTGCATGGAGCACGCTGGCATCTTCCTGCGTGGCATCCGAGTGGAAAGTCGTGAACCGAAGTGTATTGATCCGCAGCGCAAGCCCGCGCGTTTCGTTCGCGATCTGCCGGCAGCTCAGCACCAAAGCCAATTCAATCGGCTGATTGTCTGCCCGGCTGAGCTTGTTCGTCTCGAAATTATGTGTGTAGTCGCCATCGCCGGCGAAGTAGTAGTCGTAGATGAGGTTGCGGAGCTCCCGCGGCAGCTGTAAAAGAGTAGACATATTGGTGTTGTCGGGTAGGAAGAAGTTCGGAATTGTCCGCTCGGAACGTACTGTAGCCTCGGCTGCGTTGACTATTTTGACGATTAGAGGGCGTCGCCGCGTTGTGAGCCTGAGTACAATTACACTTTAGTCTTGGGAATGAGACTTGTGGGAGATTGGTGAACGCTGGAGAAGGAGAGTTAAGACCTGTGAAAATCTAGGACTGATTGTTTTTTTTCTTTTCGTAGGCGGCATGTGGGAAAGACGAAGATTTTCGCCAGCACACATATTTCTTGTCCCTCCACGCGTACCATGGTTCCAGCAACAGGCCGCCGGTGGCAGCATAACAATACCGCGTCTACCCAGATGTGTCTAGGAAGGCATCCTCGTGATGCGAAAGATATGAGTACCTATCGGGATCGAGATGGAGCAGTATGCACAAATTACATTTGCGTTCCAAAGAGATCTACTTCATCCTTATGACGCTTTAACGACAGCCCTTTTAGCAGTCTAAGCTGACAATAGCAGCACTGCTCCACGGTACCTCCACACTAATCATACCCTTGCCATCCACCTTCACACGCTCTCCACAAGTCACATTGTCCATACGAACAGGCTTTCCTTCATCGAGCTCGTAGTTGTAGCTGTAGCCATCCCAGGTGATACCCGTGATAGCATCACTTCCATTGGCCAACAGCCTTTGCACCCGAGCTTCACCCTTGCAGTCGCTCGGTAGTTGGAAGGAGTAATTCTCTACTGGGCGCGCGAAAGGTGTGGTGTAGTTGTTATCGGCGGTCGTGTTGTATGTGTGTAGGTCCACAAGGAGGAGACGTGCGAGCGTGCCGTCGACGTGGGCGGTATATTGGGTAGCGTAGATGGAGGATGAGGACAGCTCGGAGATCTTGAGTTCAGACTCGGATGAAGGTTTGTGCATGAAAGCTGCGACAGCGACGTTGCCGTAGTATGGTGGCTTTGTTCCTCGAGCTGTGATGTTCGTTTGGATTGGTTGCCAGGATTGGTAGCTTTGAGGACACTGTTAGCTCACGAAAAGTTTCACACGAGAAAAACGTAGTACGTACCGGTAGTTTGTTCCTTGGTGCATGTGAGAGCGTGTAAGGTTCTGGGACGCGAGATAGGTATTCCAGTCCACACCCCACAGCGCAGCACCGAAGCTGTTGCTCAGACCAGGTCGTCCCTGTCGGGCGAGCGAGTTGTGTTCGCCCATGACGAAGGGGACGTTTGGAGCCAGCGCGTCACCTAGCGCCTTGATGCCATCTTTCACACCGATCTGTTCGTCTGCCTTGGCGAGTACACTGCTGTGGTTCATCAACGTGCCTTGCAACGTGATACCGGGGTTGGTGGAGACACCCATGTAGTTGTGCGAAGCGATCAGGCCGATGTTTTGCTTCTCGTCCAATCCCTGCTTGAAGACCTCGACGGGGTCCAACCTGAAGTAGTCGTTGACTCCGATTCCTGCAAAGCTCGGTGCCATGAACTTGGTTCCTGCGAGATCTGGGCATGCTGCTTTGGTGGCCTCTTCAATGGCAGTCGTACCGTTCAGCCACTCAGATACATAGTCGGCCTCCGCCCAGCTGTCGTTTCGGTATCCAGAAGCAGTGAAGAGATCAGGCTCATTGCCGTACTCCCAAAACAGCAGGTTGCTTCCTATCGCTTCGCAGGCGTGCGAAACGGATGCCCATGTCGCGGTCCTTGCAGCGCTGGAGTTGGCGCCCATGTTGAAGCCATGAACGAATCGCGTGCCCTCAGGCATGGTTTTGTAGGACTCGAAGTAGGACGGGCCAAAGGTGATGATCGTTGGGTAGTCGGCGGAGATGTTTGGGCGAATGATGCCGACGATGCTGGTCTCGAGCGATTCATCGAAGATGGCGATATCCCTAAATATTGAGTAAGCTACGTGTATCTAGAATCGCGATGAAGGGGACGTCTTACTGCGTATTCCCGCCGACGCGAGCAATTGGCATTGAGCCTTGCAGCTTGCCAAGGTTGCTCATGAGGTTGTACGAGAAGGCATTGGGATGCGACAGATTGCCTAGAAGCCATGATCGTCAGTCAAGCTGTCGTGAGGATTTGGGATATCGCGGGAGACATACCAGCAAAGTCGGGCCATGACGAGAACTCAAATGAGTAAGATACGAAAGAGTCCAAGGGAACACCGGCATTGTTGGGTGCAGACTTTGGAATCGCAATTGGTTTTGTCCTGGATGAGATGTGAGCAGCCTCGGCCTTTAAAAAAGCACCGAGAGCTGCAACAGCAAGAGAGCGCTTGATCGAGGGTAACATGGTGGGCGTTGGATCGTCGCTGCCATAGCTTGAAGGCCGTCTGCGCGTTGTTTATGGGCATCGCCGGCAACGGAGATCTCGTCTGGGACGTCATGCGGCAATTGAAAAACATGGCCTCGGTCAATTCTTTGGTATCTTCGCTGGAGATCTGCAGTGTATGCGGGGAATTTACTGGGGTAAATGCGTGAAAAGCCGGGGTAGCTGCCAGCCTCTTTTTCTGTTGGTGACGCGCGCGTGCATGCACGCGTTTGATTAACCTGGGTTGCGGCTCGAGTTCGGGAACGCTTGTCCAAAGGAGGATAGACCATCCTCCACTTCCCGAATGGCAGTCACAACAACTTCATATGCCGTACCTAGAACCAGTTCTCATCATTCTTGGCTTGCAGTGATCACTACACTACAAGTGTCTTATACGTGGAATCATCGACGGCAGTAGTACATACCTTGGCACCATCGAATGATTACGCGTGAACAGCCAAGTCCGTCTGCTTGGACGCGACTTACGAACTCGCGCGATGAGTACCTGTCGACCTTAGATCTCCACTTCGGAACGCCACATGCCGCGTTTATCAGCATCTAGCTCAGATTTTTCAAAGTCTCAGCATCACTTTCGCCCCATGGGTACACCTCCTCCGCTTGCTTGACCAACTCTCTACACTTCTCACTCCTCGGTACGATGCTCACACGATACGGCTTTGGGTGGCTTATCACGCCAGGCTCAAACTCGACCTTGGGCTCTACTAGCTTCCCGTTCTCGATAGGCTTCTCGACATTGAAGACAGCCAGCGACTGCGCGATTGTCGCGAAAAGAGCGTTATCGGCGACATAGCGTCCAGGGCAGACTCGACGCCCGTAGCCAAATGTCCATGTACGTGGATCGGGCTCCGCGGTATGGGTTGGTGTCGTGATGTAGCGTTCGGGACGGAAGGTCATAGGATCGGAGTAGACGGCTGGGTCGTGTGTGAACCACCTACATGCTGTCAGCCACGAATACATCCGCTTCTCGCACTATCATGCGTACCAATTGTTAGGCAAGATCATCGCTCCTTTCGGTATCCTATACCCATTGATGCTATCCTCTTGCGTGCAGGAATGGGGTATCGACATAGGCCCCACGGGATGCCATCGATGCGTCTCCTTCACTACGGCCTCAACATACGGCAAGCTTGATTTGTCGCTGGTGATTGGTAGCCGCTCTCCACCAATCACACGGTCCAGCTCCTCTTGAGCTTTCTTTTGAACTTCTGGGAAGACGGCCATGGCCAGGAAGAACGTCATCAGCGACGAGACGGTGGTGTCCGCACCACCCAGATACATGGATGCAGCGGACCATTTGTTGATGTACTCCATAGATGCGTCTGAGCCGAGAGATTCGATAGCCTGGGAGAGGAAAGATGTCTTCGCTTTCTTATTCCGCATCTGCGATTTGACGAAAGCGTAGGGTTCCTCGGCCGTGCGTATCAAGGTCTTTGCCATCTGCCGCGCTGTACGCTTGAAGCTGGCACCTGGACACCAGTCTGGGAGAAAACGTACTTTCCGAAGTCAGCGCGCGTCATTGCATACATGGTAGCCTAATGGTAGGGAGACAAGCTTACAGAAGGGCATGACGTCTACAGGCCATCTCCCAGGCACACTTGCGTCAGCAAACTCGGCCATCGCTTGGCCTGCAATATCTACGAGCGGATCCGGTCCCTTCGCATTCGGCGTATAGCCATATGTGATTCTCAAAATGACAGCACCTGCTTCTTTCCTGATATGTTCGAACAGATCGTTCGGAAATTCCATGACGTTCAGGAGGAAATGTGCAGCTTCTTCGTTCTGGACGCGATCAAAGACGGCAAGAGACGTGCTGGAGCTAGCTACTTTCGCAATGTTGCGACGATGGTGTTTGAAATTCTGATCAGGTTGATGCATCGCCAACGTCTTGGTCCAGCCAACCCTGCTTCTTCGTCAGTCATCTCGATCGTTTGGTATCGGCGTAGAAGCGTACATGTCTCCACTGAATACCATATGTGGCCTCCCCGAGTAGATCGCCGCCCGATTGCTTAGCAACTCTACTGCTATATTCGCATCGTTGACGATAACGAACGTCTGACCTAGAACTGTGACCGAGCTTATGGGACCGTAGAGGTCTTTGTGCTTCAGCCAATGATGGCACTCGAGGATTCCAGGCTTGGGCAGGTCATTGATGTTGCCCACGAGGGGAATGCCTTTGGGGCCAGGAGGAAGCGGGAGATCGGGACTGTTTTTACGCAGAATGAAGCGGCTGAATGTGTAAAATACCAGGGTGCCAACGACGATGAGAAGGGGCGTCGTTGCTAGAAACGCCATGTTGAGGTCACCTTGCTTGTGCCAGAGATGGACGACAATATTCGGGCTGGGAAGTGATTCAGCTCTTGGGACGAGACCGAAGAAGTACGTCCATGGCAAAATCGGATTTCATGCTGATTGAGCAGCGCGAACCTTGGATTTTCCCGCCTACGCCCGATAGAAGCTCATATGCTTCGACGAGCTTAGTGCCGGTGGAGTAGTCGCGGGAATATCATTCTTTCGGGGCAGGTAGTACCGCGTGTACAGGCATGCTGCAGGCGTAGTTGCTGACAATCAGTATAGCGCGCTCCCACGCCATACTCGGTAGAAGAGCGGAGCGGTCGCTAGGTACCTGGAATAGAAAGACGCGTGTAAGCATGTCGCTGCCCATGACATAACAACCATATATGCCAATATACCAGCGATATGATTCGTGAGTTCGGACCGCGGCTGGGCAACGGTGCGCGACGGAAGACGGGGCACGGTGGAGATGGTACGGTGCTTAACGAAGTGTGCGCCACCTGGGCACACTGCAAGCAGGGGGTGTGGTACCCCACCACCCCACCCAACAAACTTGGCATAGCTTTGACATGTCAGAACACGTGTAACGAATTGCTCATGATTAAGCTTGAACACAGCATGTTTCAATGCGTGCAATCAATATTCATGGCTAAATAGGCAGTACGCTTATCTCAATAGGTATAAACAGTAAAGCTGTGCACTTTTGATTCATCTCCAGTGTCTACCTAGGTAGCATAGATTCAGCGTTACAGCGTATTTTCCTGTTAACAGTGAAGGATGTTGCAAGGTGCGATGGTTTAACCATAGGTGCAAGGGTAACCGGTAATAAATTCGACGGACGTGAGAGAAGAACCGGAAAGAGCTTTTTATGCGAGGTTCCTTCTCAGTTGCGGCGTTATTCAGCCACATTTCAGCCATCCTTCAGCCATGAGTGCCTGGGTAACGAAGACCAGATGAAAAGGAATATCTATCAGGGCTTCAGCACCTTAAAGATGTTACCTGCTTAGAGAACGGTTCAGCAAAACAGCAAACCGAAAGCGACTAAGTCTTAGTGGAATTCGAGGTCCAACTTCAAAGTCAATTCTTTGTTGTGGACCGCCTGATCACACTGCAGATGGACCTTCACAAGTCTTGACCTTCCACCAGCACCAGAAGTGACCGCATACATGGTTTGGCTCCGATTTCTAAAGCTTAGTCCTTTCACACCGATCTTGCCCATCGTCTGAAAGTCCTTGTGTAGTGCAGCCCGAAACAGCTCGCCAAATTGGTCGTCCAACAAGACCCACGGGGAGACATTCTCAGCAAAGCCACATATCAACACGATCTCGCCCGTGCGGTCTGAACTTACGTCTGAGTTTACGTGGAACCTGAGAAATGCGGTAAAGTTCCGCAAACCACGCGTAAGAAAGACGTTGTTCTGGGCATCCCAGAGCTCCCTAGGCTCGACTTCGAGCAGCCTCACGGTCTTGTGGCGCTTGGACCGGATCGGAGCGTTGACGCTTGGGATGGTGAAGTAGAAGGCATTAGGAGTCCTGCTGGCGCCGTTGAGTGTGCCAGTGGCGACCGCCTTCCGCACATATTTGGCGACGAAGATACTATTCCCACCGGCGGTGGAAGTCGGCGTTATCAACTCGCCAAGCATATGAGGTCTTGCGCGAACATATGAACTGGCGCCTTCATGTTTGAGAATTACTCCGAGGTGTACTTTTCTCTTTCCTTGAACTTCAGCAGTGTAACAATGTAGCGGCATGATGACATCTTCTGAGTCTTCAGTGGGTTTCAGGAAGGTGACAATCCGCAGGCCTTTATTCGACATCGAATAGTCTGGGTTGAACCTGAGGTCCTGCTCGAGCACAAGATTGCCAAGGCTCGCGAACTCGTCCGGGCTGCGAGCCAGTATGCCGCGATAGGTGGATGATCCGTTAGCTGCCGTCCACGCGAAGAGACTAAGGTCGTTGCTGTTATGAATAATCTCTTCTTGTAGGCGAAAGAATGCCTTCTCAGCACCCTCGCCATACAGCATGGGCATGCTGACATCGAACAGCCCGATTAAACAATACGCCATGTCTTCGGGTTTGGTGGTCTGTCGGCCTGCAGCCCACGCCATGCGTCGACCAACTGGTAAAGCGTCGAGAAGGTCACGGATTTCCAAAGCCCCTGGCTGCTGCGGCGGCGAAAGGAAGCCTGCGTCGATGCCCGTAATGGACGCCAGCTCGTCTCGTAGTGTTTCTTGCGTGCCGAAGCAACGCCAGGCATGGTCGTAGAAGTGTACGGTTCGCGACGCTACAATTTCCTGCAGTGTCCATCCGCGCTTAAACCAGCGGGCACCGCGCAACATTGCGTTCCGGTCGCTCGAGGAGGCGGAATTATCGTAATCGGACAGGTAGACTAAACAGAGGGCAGCATCGCTATACCACTGAAACATGGAGTTGATGGACTCGGTCAGCTCAGCATTGTTGGTTTTGTCTATACAGCATGAGTCGATCCAAACATAATTGAAGCCGCACCGCTGGGCTTCAAGGCACGTCTGCTCGATCTTAGTCCAGCCTTTGGCTACGGCGCGCGTGGCATGGTGGTGGAAAGCCTGGAAGGTAACTTCTTCGCTATTCCACGTATGTGAGAGAATGGCAAACGCATACGGTGGGCGCCCAAGGAAGTCGATCATCTGCAGGGGTTCGCTACAACAGTCAATTAGCCTCATTGTGGAATGGAGTGAATGATTATGTTGACGTGAGTAAGTGAATCGATGAGTGTGAGGATGGAAGAGCCATCTGAATCGAAGGAGATTATGGTGAGATGGGTCTGTGCAGTTGCGTCAGCAATGCATGCACTAGGCAGCAGCTGCAACGCTGGGGTCATTATCGGTTCACTCAATTGCAGGAGTGGCATTAAAAAAGTAAATGAACTATTGTATTGATATTGCGAGCGTGAGAGCTGGGAAGAAGCATTAGCAATCATCAACACCATGCCATTGACATGCGTGCTAGTGGAGGCGACAGGCCTCGCTACGTAGACTGAAGCTGCACAACAACACAGTCATCAGACGCCACGCCGCGAGCCTGCGATATCGCGACATCACAGCAAATGCAACAAATGGAAACTCCAAAGCGTTGTCACTACCAAACAATTTGGTGCAACAAAAGTATGTCTCCTCCATTCCTCGCCCTTAAGCCATCAAATCAGCTCAACGGAGTTGAGGAACAAAGGCCTCACCACCTTGAAGGGGGTAGATGAGGTTGTTTAATCTTGCTTCACTGTCCACACTTGCTCAACGTGAAAATCCGTAATGGCAAGCTCTAGCAATTTTAGAAGCGGATATCGATCCCCCATTATAAATAATGGAAGAAGGATGAGAAGAGGTCGAAGGTCGAAAAAGACAACTCCCTCAAAACCAACACCCCACGGGACGGACATGTATAACGTGTATAGCGTGTGTGACGTGTATGACGTGCATAGCGTGTATGACGAACCATAAAACCACAGCGTGTATAACGTGTATGTGCTCAAAAGCCCTCAGTAGCTAAATGCCGACGAAGTCGACATAAAGCATAAGCCCACAGCCCTCAGACAACATCCCGAAGGCGTTGTAACCATATTGATCGGCTGGAATCCAAGATTCCAATGCCGCACGGGTTGGTCAGACCTGTTCCATGCCCTATCTCCGGGTTGAGCCTCCCGGAGTAAGAGCTTCTCGCTTTTGAGGCCGCTGCAGCAACCTCACCGCGAAAGGCGCTGGAACGTAGTGCGTCGCCTTGTCGATAGTGACGGATACAGCCATCCATTGCCACCAATCGTTGGAGGGGGAGTTCGCGTAGTCGACCGGGGCCATTGCCTGGTGCCAGGGTAGCATCCGACGTATGGGCGAGTCGCTCCCTCCGATTCCGCCGCTGCGGAACCGACTGTTAGAGGGCCTTAACAGTCGTTCTGAGCCATGCACCCGACTCCACACCCCCATCGTAGAGTCCACGCTCACGCGTCAGTCTCAACAATAGGGAAGGGTCAGCAGCTGGAGGGCCTCCACACAGGTGGCCCTCGTGCATGCCCACAGGGTCCGTGTTTACGGACCCTGAAGGTTGAACGCGTCAACCCACGGGTGCCTCGTAGCAAAATATGCCAGGGGCCATGCGGCCTGTCGAAGACCGTCCGAAGACGGCTTCATATCTGTTGGCTTCTTCCTCTGAGATAGGGATCCAAGACTGCCGAAAGCTCTTGCAAAACAAGAGGTCCAGCCTCTAAACACCCCATATCTCAGTGTCGGGGAAAATCCCTGCTTGCGAGGTCCATGAAATGTTGACGCGTTCGGTTTATATGGTTCGTATAGGACCACCGTCTGACCTAGGGAGAGACTAAGTTCCGCAGAGCAGAGTCTCAAATCCCTAGCGACACTGTGGATTTTAACAATCGTGACGATTCAAACAAATCTGGCTACTTGGTTAGTGCTGGAGGTATTGCGTTGGACAGAGAGAAGACTTACCCTCCAAGCCAACGCCTGTGCCAATCCCAGCCGAGTAGGAGGGCTAACACAACGCGTCAAGCATTGTGTCGGTCCACTTCCTCGTCTGCAGATAAAACCACCTCCTATCTCGCAAGACCGGAGGGGCACCAGGGGAAGGGGTAGGTTCAGGGGGTGGATAATTCATAGTGGAAGATGTCGACGCTAATCGCGTCCGACGCGTCGACATTGTGCCATGTCAAGACATGGCGAGCAACAAGAGCAGTCCAGAGCCGCAACGGGGATGGAATGAGGGAGTTGTGAGGAAAGGACACGAAGGAAGTCGCGTTGCCTTTATAAGCTGAGACACGAAGGAGGGGGGCTGGAAGCGAAGAATTTGGGTGTTCGGGAGTTGGCCTGTGTTCTCCTTGGCGGTGGCCCATGCAGTCGCGTCATCGAAGCGAATGGAATAACGGACGACACCCACCAGCACAGGGGCGCGTTTCAACTCTCGCAAGTACGCGAAATGGTGAGTTCTGGAATGCAGGTTGTGGTGATGGATAGCAGTTAACACGTGATAGCCGCCCAAACGCCGTGGTCCTCCCACCAAGGCGCCGCCTGTCAAACGCCCCTCGAAGCTCGCGAAAGAGAACGGCATCACTGCGGCGCAAGAGGCGGAGATTCGCGAAGCATTTGGCCTTTTTGCCGTGTCGCATCCCGAACATGAAGACTCCAAGGAGGGCGTACTGAAGAAAAGCGATGTGCGCAGAGTTCTGATGTAGGTCACGCGAATGCGCCCGAGAGCAGCGCGGCCATGCTAATGCCTGCAAAGCTCGCTGAACCTCACACCCGACAAGTCCGAGATGTCGTCTATCTTATCCACCATCGACCCTCTCAATACCGGCTATGTTGAGTTCGTGCCCTTCCTCTCCTACGCTGCGATCGCCATACACTCGAAAGAACAAGGATCTGACGAAGAGGACGACGACGAAGACTTCCAGGGAGAGAGCAACGCGGAAGAAGTTAGCGCGGCATACAAGCTGTTCACACACGGCGCTGCGGGACCGATAACGCTTGGGCATCTCAGGAGGGTAGCGAAGGAACTGCGAGAAGACGTGCCAGACGAAGTCTTGAAGGATATGATCATCGAGGCCAACGGTGGGGTCAAGGGACAGGAGAAAGACGTGGGAGGGGTTAGTCTCGAAGACTTTGAGAGCGTCATGAAGAGGGCTGGCCTGTCTTTCGGTTGAAGCCTCGAGGCAACATGCGCGACTCACGGAACGCTGCCCTGCACGATCATTGCGAAGCCCTTACGAATACCACTATCGAACGCGCTCACGGCGACCCTTCAAGACCTCTCGCGAAACCATTCTAGCTCCTCGACCTCCCAGCGCTCCACCCTACCCGTCTTCTCCATGCTATGCAGACGATACCCCCGCCAATGAGCGCACTCAATCCTCAGCATGGGAGGCTGGTATACAAGGGAGGAAGCAGTGAAGCCAAGGTTTGAGATAGATCACATATCGGGGGAAGATATCTACACGGATCAGAAGATCAGATGTTCTAAAGAAGGAATACACGGTCACAACATATCCATAGTGTATCTGTAGCATAATCAAAAGATACCACGTCGTCTCGACTTGACTGCGATGCCAATTATAGCCACGCCGATAAGGCCGACGCGATTGGATAGTGGCGCGGCAGGGCTGAAGTGGAAATGTTAGTGCCAAGATTCAGGGACCTCACTCAACAAGCACACGAACACGAATGCAGCAGGCTTGCGTAACGCCAATCGCAATTTCACCTCTTCTCCCACTGCTCTGAACAGTCACTCCTGTTGTACGTCGCCTGTAACTGTGTTCACATTGCCACACGTCCCCGACTAACCTAGTTCCAGCTCAGCTCAATGACCGCGCCCTAAACTTGGACCCTTTTCTCCCCTCGTGTCGCCTAGTCCCATGTCCAGTGGAGTTGAGGTCCCCGGAAGCCAACGACGTCCCGGCATCTGGTCCTACTTTAGTTTCACTGGCCCACGCCGCCGCGTCTCCGTCTCCCTACCACGCAACGTCGACCCCAATCGCGACGCCAGCGACCCCAACGCCAAAGCCGACCGACACTCGCGCCATCGCTCCACGTATTCGGACGCATTCATGAACGACCACAAGGGCAGCGCCGTCATGAACCAAGGGCAGCGCATGCGCTACCTGAAGACAGGTGGCGTCATTGCTTTCATACTGCTTGTGTTATATTTCGTCGCACCGCGCGATGGCATCTCAAGACCGGCAGGTAGGTTGAGGACACATACTGGGGGAGACACGTGCTAACACCGTCATCAGTATCCCGCCCAGCAGGCGGCAACACAGCAGCTGGCGACGCAAAGGCCGAATGCACAAAGTCCTTCTCCAAGGACAAGCCGCTCATCCAATATGCCCTCATGATCGACGCCGGCAGCACCGGCTCCCGCATCCACGTCTACAAATTCAACAACTGCGGCCCGAGCCCCGAACTCGAGAGCGAGAACTTCGAGATGACACCCAAGAGAGACGGAGGCTCTGGTCTTTCGGCATACGGCGACAACCCGGAGGCTGCTGCCAAGAGTCTGGACGTGCTCATGGACGTTGCGCTGAAGAACGTGCCCAAGGAATACCAGTCATGCACACCCGTCGCTGTAAAGGCAACGGCCGGTCTCCGCAAGCTCGGTGAGCAGAAGAGCAACGCCATTCTTGCCGCCGTGCGCCACCACCTCGACAACGACTACCCGTTCCCGCTCGTCTCGGAAGAGAAGAATGGCGTCGAAGTCATGCCTGGCGAGATGGAGGGAGTCTACGCATGGATCACTGTCAACTACCTTCTAGGCAAGATTGGCGGCCCGGATAAGAACCCTACCGCCGCTGTCCTCGATCTCGGTGGTGGCTCTACCCAGATCATCTTCGAGCCCACCTTCCCAGATACTCCCCGCGGCGGACTCCCCACAGAGCTCGCAAAGGGCGACCACAGATACGAGCTCGACTTCGCCAACCAGAACTTCAATCTCTACCAGCATTCATACCTAGGCTACGGCCTCATGGAAGCCCGCAACAACATCCACAGCACCCTCCTCGCTGGCCTCCACGAGAACAACAAGGACAACAAGGAGTACCTTCAGAAGCCCATCGTCAACCCTTGCATCGCCCCAGGCATGACACGCGAAGTCGAGGTGCAGATGCCCAAGGGCCACGCACTGGGCGACTCCG